ACAATACAAAACAATAGAATATTCAAAAACTACAGACCACACCGAATAGTACACTGAAAGGTCAAGGAAGAATCATGAGGAAAACTTCCGAAAAATATCGAAAATGACTCGATAAATATCGCAACTTGGATAAATCCTGAAGCAATTTCGATAAATATCAAAACTGTTTCGATAAATCTCGAAACAGTTCGAAATATATCGAAATATCATTAAAAAAAATACAGACAAAAATTTTAACTAAGTTTTTTTAAAAATACAAAAGTTGAATTTCTTTCAAGAAATCATATTCTACAATGAGAGACAACTCTATATATCTCCAAAAACACGGTATGACATTTTGATGCACTATTTTCGTATTCCTATAACTTTTATTTACAAGGACTGTTAAATATGTAGATTTGCTGATTTAAATTAAACATATGTATATGTATGATAATAAAATACAATTGTAGTAAATATGTACTAAGTGAGTTATACCTGACAAATTTTTTCCCATATTTCATCGCAACCGGCCTTCTCTTGAAAGCTCAATGCCAAATCGAAATTGTCGCCTTCCGACCAAACGATCAATGTGTCCTGTTGTTTTTGGTAGGCGGTGTCGGGTTGAATTTTACTTTCCAAAAGTAAAGAACCATCCGATTCGGCACGCACCAACAATGAAATACCTTTTTTGTTGAAAGAAAATTATGCATATATGTATGTATGTACAAATACGTAGTTTTAAATATCGCTAGCTTAAAGTGACGCTCCAGCCAAGAAAGTATTCAACTCGGAACTCGGTAGCACAGGAAGTGGGAGGCTCTGCTTTGGAAAGATCAAGTGAAGAAGAACTTGGCTTCATTTGGAAAAGAAGAGAAACTACTGGCTTACTTTATTGAACTCGGCCAAAATTGCTTAGGCTAAATCCAGTTTTTCAAATTTTACAGGCGAGAATAAAAACCATTCAAACACTGATATCCGGAATCCGGCTTATACGCCTATTTTTCCATCATCCGGTCGTAAACTACTAAAAAATTCAGCAGTATTTCCGGATTTCGACTCCATAAATTTTAATATGAGAAACTTAAAAAAATTTATTTTATTTTCATTATCAAATTTAATAATAAAAGTTAAAATGTGTCACATTTTTTTTGTGTGGAAAAAAGCTTTTCTCCATTAAGGGTAGTATACAGCTTTCAAGAAAAATCTAAGGAAATACTAATTATTTCTGTACCTTGAAAAGACTTGCATTTGCTGTAAATGTTTTACCGGTAAATAAAAAAATCAAGGCGAATTAACATAACATCACTGAACACAAATGGAAAGAAATAAAACAGGTAGGTCGATCTTTTAGGAAACGATGCTCTTTTAATTGTTATTGCTTCTTGTATGAAAATATGATTTTTTTAGAAAAAGTGGACTTAGCAACTTTTCACTCTAAGCTAGCGATACGCATCTTGTATGCAGTAAGTAACAAGAACTTACCTTTAAGCCTGTCCACATAATTCGAAGATACATGGCCTGTGCCACGATCATCCCATTGTCGCTCTGCATTCAGAGCGTACAATTTAACGCGACGGCGGGTATCTGTAGTCATATTTTCCTCCAAAGTGACTACTCTTAATCTTTTTAGTTTTACTCTAAGCTTTCTTTTGAATATATTGTTGCCCCCAAATTCCAGTGCACGATCAGCAGCTATTCCGTACTTTTCAGTCTGCAACATAAAAATCTAGAGTTAACAACGCTATTAGGGCTACTGTGAGTATTCCTGTTAGTGCAGTACGTACACTTTGAAAGCTTTGTGTAGTAGTTATTCTCTCGCGCTGCTCAACTGGGGTGGTGTATGTACTGTGGCAGACAACCAACTATTAATTGGCGCGCAAGGCGGCTTATTCCCTCAGCTAGCGGACTGAAAAACTGTACGATTAATCGAGTTCCGTTAGTGAAAAAAATATATTCGATCAATAATTTTGGTGCTCATGCTTACGAAAGTTTTTTTTTTTTTTTTGGTGTTTAAATTTATGATTCAAATCGCACATAATTTATTGAAATCATTGGTTTTAAACAATTATCCTTTGAGGGATATGCATTTGGGAGAAGCATTCGCGCTGCGAAATCATCTGTAAGTGAAAAGAAAGAGATATGGTTATTTCCAAGACGAATATAAAAAATATTTTTTTTGGGTTGTAGAAAGAAAAAAAATTATATAAAATATTTAAAATCCAAAATACAATAACAATTGGTTCGACTTTTCATGTTGCACAAAAAGCTTGCAAAAAAACTTTCAGGGAAGGGGAAATTGAGACAGCAAAATATTGGGGAGAAGTTGCAAGTAAAATATATCCAGCAAAGTAGCTGTTAGACGTGGCAAGTACTGGTCCTTTAAAAAAGTCTGTTAAACTCAAGAGTTTCTAAAAGTGATTGCAGGAGCAGTTGCACCTTGCATGTAAAGTGGCTTATGAAAGCAGGTTTTATTCCTGAAAGTCAAGCTTTCCGATACTCTTTTTTGTCTGTTTATACGGTGAATGCAGAAAATTCCACTTTCAACTATAGGTCAATTCAACAACTTTGCCAGTAAGTACTTGAAGCCAGAGCGTAAAAGGAAAGAGTAGAATTGAGAGGAAGAGAAAATTATCAGAAAAAGTTATTGAACGCAAAACTAGTAAAAACTTGCAACTTACGCCATTTTGACACTTTCTGACAATTAAGTTTTGGTATCGCTTGCCTTTTCAATTAAAATTGCATTGGCGAGTTTCATTCGATCACGGATGCCGTGATTCAGGCCTAGTTTTATGTATAGGTTTTTTGTTGAATGCTTTATTTTTTTGTTGTTTTATGCAAAAAATAAAACTTATTCCAAGGCGAAATCATATAAGAACCATCGATCCTATAGGAGTGAAAACTATCTAAATTTTCCAGTAATTTTTGACCAAAAAATCAAAACCATCAACTATTATTCCTATAGTTACTTAACGACAACTTGTTTTAGACGATTTCGAACGTTATACTATGTCCCATTAGCAAAAAATAAAAATAAATAAAAAATTTACGCGATAGAACTTTTCATGCTGATTTCAACCATACCAAGCTAATTTGTCACAAATAAAAACCAAAGCCAATAAAAGAGGTTAAAGTTAAACTTTTATACTTTTAATATTTATAATGTATCGGAAACTATTTGACAGATCAGAAAAGTATTGATGCTAATTTAAAGATATTTTAAATACGGTTTACGCGACGTATATAGTATAACACTTTTTAAAAGAAATTTTAAATAAACGCCATTTAAAAAATATACATACTTATATATTTTTTGGTGATTCGGTATTTCTGACTTAAACATATAAAAAAGAAAATTATCTACCCAAGTGAAGGACACCCTAATTACCCTTATTTTGAGATCATAAAAAAATAAAAAAAAATTTACTTTTTTTATTTTTTACTTTAGCCAAATAATTTTGGTAAAATTGAAATCGCCACAAAAAGTTCTATCCAGCCACATTTTGGGTTTCGCATTGCTAGATTGTTGATATTCTAGACTTATTTGCACGGAACAACCTCCGACTANGAGCCACATTTTTGGGTTTCGCATCGCTAGATTGTTGATATTCTAGACTTATTTGCACGGAACAACCTCCGACTATTTCTGACTAAATTTTGCAGTACGGGAACATTCTAACTGTCGACAAGTTGGTTGCAGGTTTGGATTATCAAAGCCACACACCAAATTCGGTACAAAAGAGGGTTGCATTCCCATAAATTTCAAATAAAATTGGTGGTTAAGGAGAGTTTAACGAAATTTTTTTGTATGGCAAACTCCGAGTATAAGAGCAGAGTTTAGCCTTAAACTCCAAGAGATAGATAATTATTCGTGGAATTTCGACAATCGCAACGCTAAATTTTCGTCGCCAAAACTTTCTAAAATAATAATAAATAAATTTTCTACGCCTAAAAATATACAACATGAAAAAGTAAGGCATACAATGTGTAATCAGACAATTCTGGCAGTATAGCGGGCATGAAACTAGATGTTGTTGTTTGTTAGGCGCGCCCGCTATTAATTTGCACATTCTTGGAGATCAAAATTTGCGATAATGATTTTCAGAATCCCACTGTAGGCTGTGAGTTCTTGCACGAGCAAGCTGTTACTTGTCAAATTTATTTTACTATATGCGCTGCTGAAAAAAAAAAAATTGGTTTAGCAGTAAACGTTGTGTAGCTTTATATTTGTTGACACTTTTTTAATCTGTTGCTACACATTCATGCTGGTTTTACGTAATCATCTAAGAACCTGTAAAAATTAACTCTTTTCATTGTAGAATCACTGCCAGTTTCTTGATACTTTTCCTTTAATTTTTGTTTTCTAACTTTCTACATCCCTCATTAGTAACAGCGTCTTGCATTTATCGAAATTAATTTGACAATTTGCGTTGTTTTGCCATAAGCGACGCTTCCGCCAAAGAAAGGTCAAAACTCCCATAACGTGACGCACTAAGCGCTGCACAATACCCAGCGTCAGCAAATGTTTGGCCAACAATACATAGGCCAAGCAATGTATTGAATGAATGAATGGAATTGTGAAAGCAAGCAGACAGCGAGCGTCATCATACATTAAGTCATTCAACCGCTGCGCACGCAGAGAACAATTTTAAAGTGTAAATATTTTTAGTTTGTATTTTGTCAATGCTATAGTTGCTCGGCCTTTCAGAAGATTTGTTACATATGTTTATGTATGTATGTATGCATGTATGTATGTATGTATGTATGTTCAAACAGCGCCTCACAGCGAAAGTGGCCCAGCTTCAACTAATTAACATTTGAGTTAAACTTTAAAAAGTTTAGCTCCTACCAGTGTCAAATATAAGATCTATGGACCCCTTTGGCCCATTCTGTGGTGCACGCACCCCTGGAAGTACTCCAAACAAACGAAGCCACGGGTCATCGTCCACATTTTAGTTTCTTAAAGTAGTAAAAATAACCTAATCTAACAGGTAAAATTTACGATTACGTTAGGCTTTTCCATTCCATGCTAGTTGGTACCTACTGAAATTATGTTTACAGCCCACAATTCTTGTCGGATTTTCCTTTTTTTACAATTGGAAGATAATTAAATTCTTATGAGGTTTAAGAAGCTATACTTTTCTTAATTTTTATCAGTTTAAATAAATTTTTGTAGTGCAAATATAACATATATCGCTACCTAACATAGGGTTTCCACCTAACAATACCGTGGCATATTGTCACAGAGCGAGAAGGAGTTCGAATCGACGTCGGTCTGGTGAAGTGGTTTGGTTGAACTCAAAACGACGTCGAAACGAGATCGTTTCTTTTTCTCATACAGACCGCAACGTCGTACTGACTTTGTTTTTCCTCATCGAGTCGAAGTCGTTACGACGTCGGTTTGTTAATGTGGGTTGGGTCAGTGTTGGCACTAATCGATTGATTTTTTAATCAATTAGTTAAATCGATTGAATTCAATCCTATTGGAGTTAATCATGATTAATTTCAATCTGATTAAGCAGCTAATCGTAACCGCGATTAAAAAAATTAATTTTTAATCATTAACTTTTAATTTGATTAAGTAGGTTTGGTGATTAATTAATTTACGCTGGAATTTTCCTGTGCACACAAGGCCAGTTAAACGGGTATGGCTAAGTCGGTTTTCCTCATCAGTCTAAGCAATTTGGTGTGCGTTTTCATTAAAATCTATTCCAACAGACGTTCTGTTAGCTAGGTTTTAATATCCCTCTGCACATGTGCGATGGGTTGTAAAAATTCCCTGTTTATGTATTACTAATAAAAATAATTATTATTTGTTTTTTTATATATTACGTGTTTTTATAAGCGTGAAACACAAAAGAATAACTATAACTCTTGTTTGGTTTCAAATTCGGACAAACTAGAGCACTTAAATAATCAGATTAATTGGATTAACGATTAATGATTAAAATTAATCGTACAGATGATTACGTTTAATTAATTTTAATCATTTTCTTCCATACGAGGTATGTTCGATGATATGAACAAAATGAGCAACTCCTGCAACAAAAAAATTAATTCTAAAAATCAACCGTAACTCCCAGCTACTTTAAACATGCACTTTGTTATACTTAAATTAAATGAGCTACAAAACTGCATACTCGAAATCTTTCAATGAATTCTAGTTAATTAAAAAGCTCGAAATTTTCACATACGGGGGAAGCTAAAAAGAGCGTGTCAAAAAAATTAATTAAAATTTCAGTGGCAGATTTTATTCGGTAGCTTATACTTTCATAAGTAACCTCCAATAAGTTTAAAGGCAGCATCCGACAGCGTGTTATTACTGTTTCATTTAACAACACAAATTTGGTTAAAAAAAGAAACAAAAAAAAACATTATATTTCTATTTCTGAAAAAATTTCTATTGTCAGATTTCCTTTACTCAAAGTACTATTACACGTTTATAACTTTTCTTTTTGAGTCTATCTTAATGTTGTGCCAGGGCGAAGGCCGTTACTGTGAACGGTTTTCGCTTCTTAGAGGATCCCTTCAGCCAACTCAATGTCGAAAAAGGCCCTATTTAGAAACTTTGTTTTTTTTTTCAATTTTGGCCGCACTGTGCGACGTCGAGACGAAGCCGTTTTTTCCATACAAAATGCAAAGTCGTTCGGATTTCGTTTCTTCTCATCGAATCAAAGTCGTTACCGACTTCGGTCTGGTGAAGTCGTTTGGGTGAACTCGAAACGACGTCAAATCGAATTTATTTTTTCCATACAAAATTTGTACTCTATTAGACTAAAATTTAATGAGCTATAAACTGCTTTTTAATTTTTTATCTTACTTCAGTGGAAAAGTTTGAAATTTGTAGGAATGCTTGTTGATTTAGTTTTTTAAATATTGCACTCAAATTCAAATGATGTAGAAGGACATAATGCGAAACTACATTGATTTTTCGTGTCTCCTGAATAATTTCAATAAAGGGACTTGGCCACTTTTCACGTTTTGTAACATTAAGTAAAAGTAATATTTGTAAGAGAAATTCTGAGTTACAAAATTATCTTACCAACCTTTTTTGTACATCAATCGAGACGGGCGGGTTGGACATTTTAATGAGAGCCACTGTATACATATACGAGCATTT